CGCTCGCATACGCCCGCCGCACCCGTGTCTGCACAGCCCTCACACGCTTCGGGGCCCCATGGTGAATTCCTCCGCAGGTCCCAGCGGCGGTGTTCGCATGCGTCCGCCCCGCCTATTTCGGCACGCCTCTCAAATGTTTCGTGGCCCCATAGGGAGCGACACTGAAGGCCCCGGAGGCTGCGTTCGCAGGCGTCCGCCCCAATCATATTCGGCTCACCATTCAGACGCGTCTGCGCCGCCCGTTTCGGTGCATCCCTCACGCGTCTCTTGGAGCTCCACCGAAGGCCCCAGTGGCGGTGTTCGCATGCGTCCGCCCCGCCCATTTCGGCATACCCCTCCCGCGTTCCGTGGCCCCACAGGGTACTCCACCGAAGGCCCCAGTGGTTGCGCATGCGCTCACCGCGCCCATTTCGGTACATTCCTCACACTGTTCGTGGCCTCAGAGGGAGCTCCACCGAAGACAAGATTCACGTCTGCGTTATTCGCAGCTGCATATGTTTCAAACTTGCGGCAGTTTTATGGGGTTGGAGGGTTGAATTCCCAGGAATGGATTTCTGGCATGGTTTACGGTTGTCAGGACGCAACATTCAAGCATATGGTCCGTGGTGAAGTCCCAGAAATTGCGTTCTGGCGCGATACACGACTGTCAGGTCGCAGTAGTCACGTTGGTTAGCGGCGTTGAAGTCCCAGGAAATATGTTTTCGCACGACTCAGGACTGCCAAGTCATGCCGACATTGTGGGGTGCCCGAATCTTATTTCAGGATTGGATTGCAAAGTTGTAGCTTGAGTGTTTCTTCTGGTCCTCGCGAGGTCCCCTTCTGGATTTCGGCAGAATGAAGTTCATCTTTTTTTGAATTATTCGGATGGTTGTCTTTCAAGGGGCCATGAATGCATTCTTCGGACGTCCTGCAGTGCAGAAAGCTTATTGGGGGAACCTGCGAAGCGGGAGCGTGGAGGGCGTTTTTGTTGCAGCATCGTTTAAGCGTCTTGGGTTTACACTGGTCCTCCTCCTCCTCCTCGTCCTCCTCCTCCTCCTCCTCCTCCTCCTCCCTGTTCGACTTCGCCTGCAGGCCTACGGAGGCCAGTGGAGCTTTCCAGAGGCCCGACAGAGGCAACATAAACGTCCCTGAATGTCAGCCCTCGATCGTCGACCCTGTCGAGCCTCACCCCTCCTCCTGCTCGTCCTGCTCCTCCTCCTCCTCCTGCTCCTCCTCCTCCTCCTCCTCCTCCTCCTCCTCATCCTGCAGGGAGCCATGGCAACGCTGCAGGCGAAGTCCAGACCTTGGACGCGATGCGGGTTTTGCCAGTCATGAGAATATAACGACAGGATCAGAGCTCAGAAGATGCAGTGCCAGCGTTGCCAGGCTCACTTCAAGAAGCTTTTCAAACCACGTGGCCCCGAGCATGGCACCCGGCAGGTGCGATTTGAAGACGAGTCGGATTGGGAACACAGCAGCCAAGGCAGTGCTGACATTCCAGCCGCCAGGAGGACGAGGAGCCCAGGAGGTCGGAAGCGTCGCAGCGCCAACGGGCAGTCGCAGCTGGCCCACTTCCTCGAGCAGGCATTGGCGAACACCGCAGATCAGGAGATGCGGGCTGTCCTCGAGACCCAGCGTGCGAAGCTCGCAGCCTTGTCACAGCAGTCAGGGGAGACTGCACCAGGTCAAGCGAGCTGATGGCGCATGGAGGGCCGCCAGCAACAAGCACTCTCAGCTCGTGACGCAGGTGCTGCGCCTCCGCGCGCATCTAATGCACGCAGAGGGCAAGGAGCAGGTCGCGGCCCAGGAGCTGGCGGCGGCCGAGCGGGAAAAACGCACGGCTGCCGAGGCGCTGGCCAAGGCAGAGGGAGTCCAGCAGCAGGTACCGCCCGCCACAAGCGCCAGCAGCGCGGCTGCTGCTGGGACGGCGCCCACCATCAGCTTACAGATGAGTAGTGAGCTCTTCGACCATTTCGAAGAGTGGGATGACGAGGAGAATGACAAGGTTGACCTTCGCCAGCTCAAGTCCGAGCTCGAAGGGTGGAAGCAGAGTTTCGAATCCAAAGACGCAGAGCTGAAAGCATTCCTCGAGAAGGTCGCCAAGGCGGAGAAGGACGTCCGCGACAGGATGTTCGAGAAACACAAGACATCGGAGGAGGGCGGCGCCGGCGCAGGCGGCAGCAGTGCTGGCGCCAGGGCGGCGGAGGCGCCTGGCGCGGCGAGCGCCCAGGCAGGTGCCCCAACCCCCGCCGCTGCCGCCCAGGCCCCGCCAGCAGGCGCAGCCGCACAGGTGCCAGCGCCGCCGACGAGAACTTGAAGAAGGAGGCTCAGCACATCTCGGCGGCGAAGTTCGCGGCAGCCAAGGCGGCGGGCAAAGAGGGCTCCCCAACCGCGGCCAAGTCGGCTGGCGCCGCCGCCTCGCCCGCGCCGAAGGGCTCGCAGGGCTCCACGGCCGCGGCGAGCCAGCCTGAATGATTAGGCGTGGGAGCCGACGGCGTTGCTGCTAATAAGCACCTCGAGCACGACAGCGACACTGGCGAGACGAGTATTTTCTTCAGCAACGTGACATGCATGGGAGACAAGGCCTGGAACTTCCTCGAGTCCCAGTCCCAGACGCACGACTACCTGGCCGTATGCGAGACGCACGTCGGGAAGACAGCACTTCCTTCATGGGCGCCCCAGGCACGGTTTTCATACTTGACCTTGGCATTCTGTCTTCTCCTCCCTCCCTTATATGGTTTATAGAAACGTGATTGATGTTTGTAGTAAGTTTCCTAGCGTGCAATCATGAGTTGGTTGCACGGAGGATCGCGACGGCCCTGGTGGGGCATTGCCATTTTCGCCCATGTGTCAATCGCCTCTGTTACGACACCGGGTCTCAGAATGAAGGGGGAGAGTGGGTTCTCACTCGCAATCATAGGCCAGCTCAGTATCTAGAGGCTGCTCGCGCAGGCCTACTTTTGGCCGAAGGCAGCTCCATGTTCGATGGTTTCGTGCCAGTAGTAGCGCGCATGCGAGGATTCTCTTTAGCGTTTTTCAGTTTGTTACGGGCACTCAGGGCTCGGGCTCCGAGGGGCTAACCTGGGTCGTTTCCGCAGGATCGGATGCTTGCTTCGTGCCCTTCAGATCCCCTGGATCGTCGCCGCCAGAATGGCTAGACAGTGTCGGAGGGCAGATTGCGTGCTCCGACGCGCTGTTCACCTGTACCCCAGGTGGCGGGAAGCAGCCCAGCCATCTCGACTATCTCGTAGTCAGTCACGCAGCGATGCCGTACGTTCGTCGAGTTGTTCCTGTTGCCGACGTGCCATGGGAACCTCACATCGGACCCAGTGTCTCCATCGTCGCGTCTGGCTCTCAGTTAATCACTTGGTATCTTGATTTGCCTGCGCGTTTGCCCACTGTCAGCAGACCCAAGCGGCAGGGCGCGCCTGGTTCCAAGTCTAGCGTCAGGAAACAGGAGCGGGCCACTTCAAGGTTGGAGGCCAGACGGGCGCGCGAAGAACGCATCCTCGCCTGGTTCTCCCTGCAGGATGGTGGCGAGGGCGCGCAGGGCGAGTCCGATAATTGCACCCAGGGTCGTTATTCTCCTCCCTGTCTGCTGCCCCCTCCCGCCCTCAGCGACGCGGGCGCTCGCTGCGAGGAATGCGGTGAGCCCGTCTGTTCAGGCGGCGACTAGGGCGGCTTCTCGAAATAGGCCCCTGGGCGGACGAGACGGCGTTCCAACCTGCCCCCTTCAGCCGCCCTTTTTTTTATTGTTTTCTTCTTAGTTTGCTCATTTCTCTCTCTCTCTATATATATATATATCTCTTTCTCTCTCTCTCTCTCTCTCTCTCTCTCTCTCTCTCTCGTTTTCCCCCCCCCTCTCTCTCTCTCTCTCTCTCTCTCTCTCTCTCTCTCTCTCCCTCCCTCTCTCTCTCTCTCTCTCTCTCTCTCTCTCTCTCTCTCTCTCTCTCTCTCTCCCTCTCT